CTCGCCCGGCCCCCCTACCCCCCAATCCTGCCACCGCCCTCGGGACCGCAAGCAAAGAAGAGGGACCAGAACAAGTCGGCGGCTCTGAGGTACCGGCAGAGGAAGCGCGCAGAGGGCGAGGCCCTGGAGGGCGAGTGCCAGGGGCTGGAGGCACGGAACCGGGAGCTGAGGGAGAGGGCTGAGTCGGTGGAGCGGGAGATCCAGTATGTCAAGGATTTGCTCATCGAAGTGTACAAGGCTCGAAGCCAGAGGACCCGAAACAGCTAGCCGGGCAAGGGCTTTGGGCCGTAGGGGGCGCTGGTCTTCAGCTCCGGCTCCCTTGCTTTTCTGGGGCTGAGGTGGGAGGGCCCATCCTTCTGTCATCCCCCTGCGCCCAGCTTCCTTCCCAACCCCTCCCTCCCTCCTCCTCCACCCCCGCCCCCTTCTCTCTCCCCTTTTATCCTTGTCTCCTCTCCTGTCCTTTCTGAGTTGGCTCCCCTCCTCTCTCCCAAGAATCATGGCATGTTTGGCCTCAGTCAACATCTATACCCTTAAGTAACAGCTGAGGAACAGAGACCTACCGGGAATTCGGGGAATAGGGGAGAGCTTGGAAACTCAGCCTCCCAAACAGGGAAATGAAGTCAGGAAGCTCTGCAGAATGACGTTGCATAGGAGGATGGGGGAACCATCTGGGGACTAAGCCAAGGAAGGTTTTAAGAGTGGTGCCCAAAGAATGTAAGCCAAACAAGCCAAGTGACCTTGGGGAACTACATTTGGGGGATGGAACCAAAAGGTGGCCAAGTTAGCAGAGCAGGTGGATATACAGGCAGATGGGGAGGTGGTCAGGGTGGAGAACAGCCTTAATTGGTGACTGGGTGTTCATTTTAGCTCTGGGAGGAAATCAGTGTTTTGTGAAGGTGTTGGGGGAGGGGCTGCATCTAGGTGAGGGAGGGGTGGGGACTGATCGTTTTGGAGGGGTTGTGAGTGGAAATAAAAAGAAGCATTTCCTCTGGTCGTGTGTCTCATCTTTGAGAGGAGAGGTTACGGGGAGGGCAGCCTTAGGCCAAAGACATATTATTATGATAGTAATAGAAATAACAGGTAATACTGATGGCCAAGCACACGATCAAGGCCAAGACGGGTCTCATTGAACTGGTGAAGATACAACACCCACTTTTTGCTTCAGACCGTTTATTACTTAACATAGACAGTGAAAGCAAGAGTAGCCAAAGGTGCCACCTCCCCATGGTGCTTGTCACACCCACCAAAACCAGAAAGGGGTAGGATGGCCGCAACAGAGTTGTGGGGTACCCCAGGCTGAGGCGGCAGCTGGCTGAGGAAAGCTTTCCAGGGAAAATTGGCAGGTAAGTGGGAGGTGGCCTGGAAGCCACGGTAGAGATGTTCAGCTCCATCTATTTGATGAGGGCTTACTATGGGCTGAACATTATTTTAAGCGCTTTGCATGATAATTTCAGTTAACCCCAAAGGACAATATTCTTGTTAGATTTTGGATGAAGATTCTCAAACACTCGTTCTACCTATGTGGTCTCTGCCAGGCACTGGCTGGAAGGGGAAGGGCTGGGTATACAAGTGGAAAACAAAGTTACATTTTCTGCCACCATGGAACCTGCATTCTGTCTAGGGAGACAGGTGATGTAACTTGACCTAGGGTAT